ATCACATGCTTTCGAAGATCTCGAAACTGAAGTATTGATTCTGACGAAATTATTGCCATGATTCAAAACGATCGAGGCAAAACTTATATGCAACATAGTGGAGGGTTGACAAGAAAGGTTTTACTCACCGATAAATCAAGATGCAAGAATGTTTCCTTGGAATTGTCTGGAAGCGAAGGCGTTTTCTTTTGATCGGCGTTTGCATCCAACAACTAGACCAAAAGCCTAAAAGTTGGAATGGAATTTTTTATTATAAGTGAATCAAAACCCTTTTCCAAGCAAAATTCCTGCTTCAATAATATTCACATATATCACACCTGTCCACTTCTGCCATCGATCGCCACATTTTGCAAAAATAACTTAGATGTAGGTATCAAAATTCTTGCAATGCCGTTTAGAAGCAAGATGGATCTTTATTACCGAATTAAAGGCTACAAAAACTAAAAATTCAAAGGCTCTATCTATATATATCTACATCAAAAAATGCTTCGTTGCACATTCTTCAGTTAATACATACAATCATAGAGCAGAACATACGATTCCTGCAGCGGGATCATGATTGGTAAAACGATGTAAACATCAGCAATATAATATCTTGATGGATTAAAGAATTGATTCAAACTTTTCCCCTGCTTTTTCAATTCAATTTTGTATTTCAGTTACGCAATACTTGCAAAAGTTGTCAGCTGACTCAACACTATTTTTACAGTATGTTTTCTTCAATCATCAAATCCAACCAAAAAAATATCCCATGGAATTTTCAGTCTCTATCTGATGTTTTGTGGCAATTAATTGCACAAAAGGTTTGTTTTAGTTACTTCAGTAGATCACTACTCAATCACTAATGACGCAAAACTTGTTGCAACATAGTTAGGGGAATTTTTGGGAATTTGGCAAGAAGGGTAAAGTTCTGAAAGGTTTTACTTACCGATATGTCAAGAAGCAAGGGTAGTTTCTCGTGGGATTGTCTGGAAGCGAAGACGTTTTCTTTTGATCACCGTTTGTAGTCAACAACATTAGATCAACCTAAAAAGTATATGTATTTATTTTCATTATTAGCGACTCAAAACGCGTTTCCAAGTAAAATTTCTGCGTAATGATACTTACCATTATCACTGTATCGCCACATTTCTCAGAAAGAATTTCAGGACAACTCTTTCCTTCTGTTTAGGAAAATGAGTCTACACAACTAGTATCAGAAAGGCGCTGCCGTTATTAAAATGTGCTTCGATGCACATTATTCAGTTAATACATACAACCAGAGAGCAGAACGTTTCCTGCAGTGTGAATCTGAGTAAGGATTGGTTGAAACCATAAACTGTGAACATCAACAACATAAGATGAGCAATAAATATATCGATTGAAAGCATCTTTTTGACGTAGTTTCTTTGCTTTTCTATCTTTTTTCGTCCAATTTGCATTTCAGCTCTACAAAGCCCTTTTAAATAATTTACTGTGCAAAGTTTTGTTTTGAATTGTCTGAATAGTTGTAATAGTTGTCAGTTGACTCAACGCTAGATTTACAGTTTGTTACGTCAACCAAAGACACCCTAAGGTAAAATTCCCCTAGAAGACCAAAAGCCCATCAAAATTTGCTCTCTTTTGTTGGAATATGGCTATTAAAAACTATTCAACATTATCTAGTAATTGTTTCAACCAGCTATAGAGTACAAACATTAAATGTGCGCAACACTTTCCACTATTTACTACAAAATTGTGTTAACGTAACTAAACAATAGAAAACAATAGAATTAGCATAATTTAGTGGTATTTATGTTGCACAGTTTTAGTGTTTGTACTCTAGTGGTTTTTATTTGAATGATAAAGAATTGATAATACTTTTGTTTATCAATCTCTAATATTCATATTCCAGTTAAAGAAAACAAGTTACTTTTTTATATATTTAATTAATCATTTCAAAAAAAATAAAAGGTTTTTATAGGTTTAGTGTCTAAGTATGTATCAGTTCCAGTGAAAAACAATATTTGTCAGTCTGTTGTATTATAAGTTTGCAAGGAAACCAGTAGAATTGGAGTCTACTTTATAGCATAATTACTCTTTTATAGTCCGACGATTGGCACTCTATTTGCATACACCTAACGAAAAYAATACACCAAAGACGCTGTAATAATTTTACTTTAATAAAATATATTAATTCAACAAAATATAAAAAGGTATTCTACAGACAGGCTTTTGAAAAAGTGAGTTACTTCCCATTAACACGGGCTGATACCTCATTACTGGCTGAATTTAATCACCAAAATTATTTTTTGCACCAGTTTAAAGTGATCAATTTTTCTATTCATTCAGAAATTRTGGRAGTATTGTAAGAGTATTGTAAGGCCTAGTAATTCATTTAACTTAATAGCCATATCGCCTTTCACTATTTCAGTCAGTAAATAAAAATGGAGGGTTCTATAGTTCTCTTGTTGGTCGTCTTGTCTGTCCATAGCTTCCGGTGAGTCGAGAGAAAATGATTTCGCCTTATATGTTTTCCTTGTTTCTCTCAAGTTCCTGCTTGTAAATGATTAAAAATACTCCAAAAGATATGATAACTACAGCCAAAATTGTTAATAAAATATCAAACGCAA